AATGATGAAAAAAATTTTGATGAAGTTACAGTAACAATACTTTGATTATATAAAATAATGATTTAATCTCTCGGTCATCTTTAATTATTATAAAACATGAAGAAATCGATCACTCCGAGTCTTCGACTCGGAGCAAAATCGATATCTTCATGTTTTATAACAATACTTTTATGAGTTGTTTAATTTAAAAAAGGTTTGAATTTGAGTTTTTTGGATGTCTTAATTCCTGTGGAAAATCCTGTTCCAAAAATAAAATTAAAAATATAAATTGTGCAAATATTTTTCTTCTTTTTCTAAAACAAAATAATAATTTTGTTAAAGAAATTGTGATTCATAAACAAAAATAAAGGAAAATAAATAAATTTTCTATTTCTTAATCACAGTTGTTTAATAATTTTCTAATTTTGTTAAGAAGTAAAGAACAAAAATCTGCATAATTTAAATTTGACAAAACATAATATTTAACAAAATTTTAGTCTCTTAATGAAAAGAAGTAAAAAAAGTTCTGATGATTTCTATTTGTCATTACAGTTTTGAATTAATTATAAAATATAAAAATAATTATAGCATATTAGAACTATTGAAGTGTTTTACCAGAAATTAGAATATAAATTTAATTATTTATAGGTAGCACGCAAATGATTCTTGTTCGGATGTTGTATCTATAATATTGTAGTTTAATAATTTTAAGATTAGAAGCTCCGAAAAATTGTTTTGTTCTAATATTATCAATAAAAATATTCTGCAATCAAGTGGAATACTTTTGTTTTGAGAGGAAAAATTGATTGGCGATATTTTAGAAGAGGATTTTTCCTCTAAACATGAGCTTCCTTTTTTCCATGGTTGTAATTTTCTTTAAAAATCAATATAATTATATTGAATTGAAAAATTGAAAATTAAAAAATTGAAGAAAAAAAATTGAAAAAAATCAAATATATTGACAAAAAAATTAAAAATATTTCTTATTAGGACAATAGATACATTTGTCAAATATTACATCACATATGCACTTATTTAACCTTGTGTGCGTGTATGCGTCTTTGATTACGCGTCATATAAGTAATAAAGTATAGATATATAGGTCACATAGAGAATAAATATTGTTTCCAGGTATTCCATCGAGGACTCGCTAAGTGAATACTATTTTACAGTTTAACCATTTTTCATTATTATATTCGCTCGCGCCTTGTCCATACTGACCTATATGTAGTTCACAAAAGTGAAGCTTGTTACAAGATAAATATCGCAGAGTTTGTAGCGCAGGAGTGACATTTTTGTAACAATGGAAAATTAATGGTATGAAAGAAAACCGAAAGGAGAAAATTGCATATTACAAAAAAATATATTGTGTATATGTTTATTTTGAAAAAAAAATTCTATCACAAAAATTGAATAATAGAAAAATTTTCATATTCTTCTACTATTGTTATTTATATAATTATGTATGTAGCTAATTATATTTCGCAATTTTTAATTCTATTATAGATTGTACTTTTGAAGATTTCAATCCTATACTTTTATTTCTATTATTTCTTCTTCTATTGCTTCTATTTATTTATTGTTATTATTGTATTTACTAAAGGGAAAATTAAAAAATATTATTTAACTAATAAATTTCCCTGATAATTATTTATTATTATTATTATTAATTATTGGGGGGGGGGGGGGGGAATAATAATTAAAAACTAATAAATCCCCGTCTTTATTATTATATTGAGAGGGATTAAGTAATAACAAACTAATACTTTCTCTAATTATTTATTTATTATTAGGGGGAATTAAATAATTAGAAACCAATAAATTACCCCCATTTACTATTAGTTTTATTGAGGGGGGATTGAGTAATAATAAACCAATAAAATTCCCCCTACTTATTATTATTGGGGAGGGGAATAAATAATAATAATAAACGAATAAACTTCCAAACATTTATTATTGTTATTATTATTATTGGAGGGAGGATTAGGTAATGATAAACTAATAAACCCGGGGGGGGGGTTAAAAATATAATAATAAGTAGGGGGGGGGCCTATTTATTACTATTTTTAATTTTTCTATTTTCTCTTTTTGAATGTACAATTAATAATTATAATTTTGTTAAAAAGTGAAAATAGAAGAAAAATATAACAAAATAAAAAAAAAATTTTATTAAATTAAATAAAAAATATAAGACAACCGCCTTTTGTATTAAATAATGAAAAGAGGACAATGTTTTTATTTTCCATGGTCGAATTATGCGTAATAAACTCCAGGGATTTATGCAATGTGATTCATCTACCGCCAGAGAGAGAGAGAGAGAGAGAGAGAGAGAGAGAGAGAGAGAGAGAGAATAAATGATAGTATACTTTTATAATTGAATCGACATTCGTTGATTGTGAAAAAAAAGTGAAGACGAAAAATTTCTACATTATTAATGAGTAATGCGAAACAATTGTATATGCATAATAATTTTGTATCTCCTGTTATTTATTTATACATATATGTTTCTTCGTTTAATAAATAATTAAATTTGAATTACTTCGCTTTCCCTTTTTTTTTCTTTTGTCAAAGAAAAAGAAATTCTTATTCTAATATAAAGATACATATTACTTCTTTTTGCTCTATTAAATTTATCTGATGAATCAGTGAAATTTCCACTCAAAAATGAGTATAGTGAGGAGAGGTTTAATTAAAAAAAATCTTTTGGTAATTTTATTTTCTCAATTTTTTTACATTAGTAAAAAAATAACTAAGGGCCTAATAACTTTTTTATTCTATATTCAAGTAAATTCTCCTTAATTCAAAAAAAAATTTCTTTTTCGCAAAAAAAAAATGGTGTTTGTGCGATTTAAGTAAATTTTGTCTGTGACAAATGGATTCTTTACTTGGAAAAAGAAAATTTATTTACTAAATTTTTTTACTTTAAAGGCCATCTTATTTCTGCCAAATAAATATTTTATTGCGAAAAATAAACTTTTTTTCATACTTACAAAAACAATGTTATTGCTCACAAATATTATTTTATTGTTCCAAAGAAAATTTTCACTCAAAAGAAAAATTTTATTTGTTCAAAAAAGATAAATTTCAAAAAAGAAGCTTTCATTTGTGTCAAAGAATTCATTTATTGTGTGAAATACATTGAAACAATTTTATTTATGCCAAATAAATTTTTTACTAAAGAAAAAAAATTTATTTCTGCCAAATATATTTACTTATTGTACCCTCAATAAATTTTTTACTTGAAAAAACAATTTTATTTTTGCCACAGAATTTTTAGTTGAAAAAATTAATTTAATTTGTGCCAAATAAATTGTTTTCATGACAAAAACTATTTTATTTGAGACAAATATTCATTTATTGTGCCAAATATAAGTTTTCTACATGAAAAAAATTTTTATTTGTGGCAAAAATTGATTTATTTTTCCAAATAAATTTTTTACTCTAAAGAAACAATTTTATTTGTGCCAAATAAGTTTTCTATACTTGAAAAAAGGTTTTATTTGTGGTAAAGATTTTTTTAAAGTGCCAATTAAATTTTTTACTCTAAAAGAAATTTATTTGTGACAAAGACTTTTTTATTGTGCCAAATATATTTTTTTCTGTAAAAAAGAATATCTATGTGTCAAATAAATTTTTTACTTTAAAAAAACAATATTTTATTTGTGACAAATAAGTTTTCTACTTAAAACAAATTTTTATTTGTGGCAAAGATTTTTTTAAGTGACAGATAAATTTTTTACTCTAAAAAAAAATTTATTCGTGGCAAAGACTATTTTATTGTGCCAAATAAATTTTTTTACTGTAAAAAAGAATTTCTATGTATCAAATAATTTTTTTACTTTAAAGAAACAATATTTTTTTTTGTGCCAAATAAAGTTTGTATTTAACAAAGAGAATGAAAATAAAGAGTTATTATTTCTCCGACAATTATTTTTTTTTTCACAAATAAATTTTTTACTCTGAAAAGACAATTTTATATTTTAAGGAAATAATTTCATTTGGGCCGAATAAATTATTTTCCTGAAAAAATAAATTCTATTTGTCCCAAGTAAATTTTTTTCCATAAAAAACAGTTTTGTTTTTGATTTTTGACTTGTTAAGAACAATTTCCTTTCAGCCAAATAAGTTTTCTACTTGAGAAAAAAATTTTCATATTGGGCCAAATATATTTATTTATTATGATAAATAATTTTAAACTTGACAAAAACAATTTTTCATTTGAGCCAAATAATAATTTTTCTACTTGAGAAAAGTTTTTACATATTTTGGGTCAATTATTTATTTATTACGCAAAATTAATTTTTTTACTTTAAAAGATAATTTTATTAGTGCTTAATATTTATATTATTGTTTGTATTATTTTTATTATTGTAAATTTTGAACTTAAAGAAAAATTTTCTTCCTGACAAATAAATTCTTTTAGTTGAAAAAATAATTTTATTTACTTAATTCAAATAAAAAGTATTTTTCTGTGGGTTTAGTGGTAAAAATATTTAAGAATTCAATTTTTTGTATCAGACCGATAAAATCGAATTTCAATTAAAAATAAATAAAAAAAAATTGAAAGAACAAAAAAAAACATAATTCCATAATACGAAAAAAACAATTTACTCTCCTTTCTCTTTTTTTCTGATTCTATCAATGCGTTCACTTTTTTTTGACGTTTCACAAAGAACGCTCTTAATGAACAAAACGAAAACAAAAATTGACAATTTCACAATATTTACAATGACCTTCGCACGTGTCTGGAAGATCCTTGATTCGGAAACATTGGAACGGAAGACACTCTGCTATTGAATAAAAAGAGGTAGGTCAGTAATCGCGACGAACAATTAGTGAATTTAAAGGACACAAGCGTCATTGAAATGAAGAGAAGAAGTAAAGAGAGAAAGAGATTGTGTTGTATAGAGGGAAAAACGAAGAGAGACAAGACTATTGAAAGGGAGGAATGTTTGAAAAAGACAGAGGAGAAAAGAAAGAGGCTTTGAATTCTCCGTTCTCCTGCTGCTTATACCTTCGAACAGCGGGCATTTAGTCTCGCGAGTTTACTCTCCTAGCCAACATCGTGTTTTTAACGTTCGAATATAAGTGAATATGTTGTTCTCCTGATCGGAATATACAATTTTATTTTCACAATTATTTCAAACTGTGAATAATTATAATTTTTTTTCATTTTTTTTTTTTTTTTTTTTTTTTTTTTGTTATAAAAGACTGGTGAATCAGACACATTTAAGGTGAGTCATCTCTCACTCTCAAAGATTAAATTGTAAATAATACAAGTGCGTCAAAAGTCATTGACATTGTTCGAGAAAAATTCCTATTTTTACACAAATTTTCAATAAAGTGGTATTTTTTAATCTCGTGAGGTTTTTTTTCTATTTATAATCAAAATAATTGAGGTGGGTTTCATTTTTTTTTGAAGAAGAAAAAATTATCTGTGAGGGGAACAAAGGATTTTTTGTACCAATGTTTACTTTCGAGAAATAAATCAGTGTACTTGGTAAATAATAAATATAGACGTTATATTAAATAGCACATAAATTAAAATTATTAAAAAAACATTCACCCTAGTGAATTAAAAATACTCTGATATTATATTCCATAAGTTAAAAATTTTATTTATTTACAAAAAAAGTTTTTTTTGAAGAAAATTAAGATTTTAATTCTTTTAATTTACTAATTAATTGTAATAATATAATTACAACGATAAAAGAATAATAATTAATAATAATAATAATAATTAACAATAATAATAATTAATAATAATAATAGTAATTAATAATAATAAAAATAATAATAATCTATTATTAAATAGAAATAATAATTTATAATAATTTCTTACAGTTTAAGTTAGCAATAATTATTACTTAGTGAAGTTACTTCATTAGTTAACAATAAGTTATCAACAATTAAATTGTAGTAATAACAATTTAAAAATAACGATAATAATCATTTTTTTGCGCCATTAATATTTAATAGTTAATACTAAGTGCTTTTGTACTTAATTGTAATAAAAATAGTAAAATAATAAATAGCAATAATTAATATTAAATATTATTTATTTATTATTTTTATATTGATTTTTATTATTGTAAGCCCTTGTATTGTTTAAATAAATATATAAATAAATAACAATAGTAAATAATAATAAAAAAAAAATTATGGTAACAATAAATAATAGAAATAATAAATAACAGTAACAATATATAATAATAAAATAAACAATAATAATAAAAAATTAGAGTGACAATAATAAATAATAGAAATAATAAAAATTAATAATAGTAAACAAAATAAAAACAATTTCAGAAAGTAGGTTCTTAAATGTTTAATACCGATTTTTACACATTCATTAAATATTAATATTTCATTAACGAATTAAAAAACTAAATGAATTGAAAGTAAATTGAATTTATTGTTTCAAAGAATTTTATAAAGCAATAAATTAAAAGTCTTATCGGCATTTATGTTATTCGAATATCGAACCGAATTTGTTACAGTGTTTTACCTGATTAAAAGTTGAGCAGGATAAGATAAGGTGCTATGGAAATCTAAACTGACATCATTTCCTTTAGTCCACTTTCAACAATACATGATTTAAACTCATATGCAATTTGATATAGAGTGTAATGTATTTTCTTTTTCTATTTTATTTTTTGTATTTAATAGAATTAAATTTTTATTTGCAAAAATAGACAAAAAAAATTGATTCACATAATAACGAATTGAAATATTAATTTTGTCATATTGTACATTATTGATAATTTATTATTATTATTATTCCTATTCTTATTTTTGTATTGTTACATACTTGCATTATTATTATTATTATTATTATTATTATTATTAATAAATTATTATAAATTATTAATTTTCTAGTAATTTTATCACATGATTGTTTAGTTGTTTGACAACATGGGAGAATGGAAGCATTAGATAACTGTGATTAATTATACTTCGAAATCGAAGATATACAGTCCCCAGAGGAACTTGCGGTATAAATAGTCCCAGAAGATTGCTCTGATCATGAAGTAAGATTTTACGTTAAGTTTCATTCGTTCGCGTATAACATTGAATAAAGAGGTAAAAATCGTAAACTAGCAATTTATATGCAAAAGTGTTTCTTTGTTATGTTGTACAATCGTGGTTGAAATTCCCAGGATGTAAATTATGAAACTAATATAATAATAAAAAATAAATAAATAAAAATAAAATAAAAAATAATAAATAAATAAAATATTTAATAATATTTATTTAAATAATAAAATAAACTAATAAAAAATTGTACGTTTACTGTACTTTTTTGTTTGCTTTTAATTATAACTTTTTTTTAAAAAAATCTAATTTTATTTTCAATTTTTTTTATTGAAAATAAATAAATGTATATAATTTTAGCAAATATATATTGCAAGGAATTTTTTTCAGAAATTTTTAAATTATTAATATAGTAATTTATATGTATGCACTGAATTACTATATATATTTACATAAGCAGTAAATAAAAAAGTGCAAATGCTTTTGTTAGATGACAAATGTCTGCGATGTTGATTCATTATTTATATTGACAGAAGAGTTCTCATCTCGATCTCAATCTCGAAAACTTATAAATATTTTATTTCGAGCGATATTTTTTATTATTCTACTACTTTTTTTTTTGAAAATTGGTATATTAACAAATTAACAATAATAATTAATAATATTAATAAATAAATAGTAATTGATGATATTCGCACAAATTAACTCTCTAAATTTGAATTTTTAAAAATGTTTACTAATTTCAATTAGTAACTTACTTTTTGCTTTTGAGTCAGTAAACTTTACTAACAAATTTGTAGAATTTACTATTTCCTAGTAAAATTAAAATTAGTGTAACTAAAATTAGTATAATTTAAATGTTTACTAATTTAAATTATCGACTAAATTTTTGCTTTTGAGTTAGTAAATTTTACTAACAAATTAGTAGAAATTACTATTTTTTTTAGTATAATTTACTAATTCAAAAGCAGAAATCCAGTCACTAATTTAAATGAGTAAACATTTTAATTACTAGTTCAAATGTATAGAGAATAATTAATAATTAAAAAACTAAGTATTACACTAATAATAATAATTGTTAATTATATTAATAAATTAATAATAATAATTGATAATTATATTAATAAATTAATAATAATAATTAATAATAATTAATAAATTAATATTAATGATAATTACTAATGTTAATAAATTAATATTTATACTTTTAAGTTAATAATGTTGCATGACACTTATCTAATAAATTTGCAATTAATTTACTTTTGTCAACTGAGTTGACAGTTTGCTCTCGTTATCCATAATTCAATATTTTTAATTACAAAGATGACTAACTCTCCTTGTTGTATAAAATTTATAAAACCATTTATAAATTAAACATTTTAATACATTATTTCAATTATAAAAATCTATTTTTCTTCAATTATTAAATTAATCAATTAACTATTTTCTCTTCTTTTCTTTAAATAGAATGTAAATATCTTTGTTAAATAATACGAAAAGCTTAATTTTGTTTTTTTATTTACGTTACAAACATTTTTTTTTCTTTTAATTACAATTTCTTATTAATTTATTCATTGATTTTTTCTCTCTATCAATAAAGTATAAAATTAAATTAACATTTTCAATTAAATTTTTTTTTTGCTTTCTTAACACAGTTTTCCTAAGGATATCAAATTGAGAGAAAAAAAGAATCAAAAAGTGTTGCGAAGCAACATTTTGATCCGTTTTTTGTCTCAATTTGATATTATTGATATCCGTAGAGAAACTGAGAATAAAAAATGTACGAGAAAAAAATACTTAAATAAAATTTAAATACTTTCTATTCTTTTTGTTTCTTGTCTTCTCCTTTTGTTCTTTTCTCGGTTCCTTTCATTCTATATTTCTTTTGACGTTTTCATAGCATTTCATAGGAAATTTATTTATAAAGATAGACAAAACTTCTCTCGATAATCTTTTGTTCCTATTCGTATATATATATGTCGTACAAAGCGGAACATTATTGTGAATGTTGAATAATAAAACAAGTGCCCGTTAATTTTATAACCGCGCCAAGTATGTGGGCTTTTGTTTGAATATTGTTACCACGTGTGAATTTTCAGTATTGAGTTTAGAGTGGAGTGAAAAAGCAATTTGGAAAATTGAAAAAAAATTCCGATTTTGTTGTGTAAAACATAAAAAAAATTTTTTTACCCCTCTATAAAAAAAAATCAAAAATTCGGATATCTTTCAGTAAAACATACGAAGAAAATTTTTGTAAAAATTTTTTTTATACAGCACGTGCATAAAATTTAATTATGTTTCGTTCTTTTTTTTCTAATTTTGCATCGTTGCGGTTTTTTTTTCAAGAGGTGTTGAAACTATTTTTTTTTTCAAATTCCGCACTGAAAGCACCAGTTGCCAAGTGAAATAATAATAATTGGTACGAGGGTCAATGAATTTTCTGCAAGAATTGCTTCGCATGCATTATATACACTCATTAAAGACAAAGAGAGACCGTACCCTCGATTGTTTTACTTTTTCATGATGCGTCCAGTTAGCTTGCTTCCCCATTTTCATCTTCCTCATCAACTTTTGTATTATTCTTATATCACGAAACCAATTCTTCATTTTCTCCTTCGTCAATGAATTTTGCACTTTCATCTTTTTTTTCTAACTATATTTATTTTTTTCTTAATTTATTAAAAATTTTCTAACTATATATTTATTTGTTTGTTAATTTATTTAAATTTAAATTCTTTATTTCAGTGTTTTTTTATTTGTAATTTTATTTTTAAATTGAATTACATTATTATGTTAACTATAATAAATTCATTTTTTATTCTATATCCTAATTTTAGAATCTTTACAAATACTTAAACTCCAGCCAAACAAATTATTGTTAATTATTATTAAACTAATTAAATTATATTGTTTATTAAGTATCAATAAAATTATTTACTCTCTAAATTTTAATTAGTAAAAATAAAAATGTTCATTGATTTGAATTAGTGACTGGATTTTTGCTTTTGAATTAGTAAATTTTACTAATATATTCGTAAAAATTACTATTTATTAGTAATTTTTACAAATAAATTAGTAAAAATTACTATTTAATAGTAAAATTTAATACTTTGAAGGCAAAAAGGCAGTCACTGATTAAATTAGTTAAAATTACTATTTATTAGTAAAATTTACTAATTTGAAGGCAAAAAGTTAGTCA